TACCCTACCCTACCCTACCCTACCCTACCCTACCCTACCCTACCCTATTCTATTCTATTCTATTCTATTCTATTCTATTCTATTCTATTCTTTGTCCCTACCCCACCCCTCCCCACCCCACTCAATTCCATTCCATTCCATTCCATTCCATTCCATTCCATTCCATTCTATTCTATTCTATTCTATTCTATTCTATTCTATTCTATTCTATTCCATTCTTCTACCCTACCCTATTCCTATTCCTATCCTTCATTGTCCTGTTGCTAATAACCAGATCTAGCTTAGGTTTCTTTCATGTTTTTGGACTAATGAACACTTCTGAGTGTTTTGAAAGATGGGCAATCACAAAATATCTGTTTATAGGAAATGAAAGAGGTGAAAAGACAAATAATTGTAATGCAACTAACCTGGGTACAAAGCAGAGACTGGATTTTGCCTCAGAATATAAAATGGTTCCTTTGAATTTATTGCTCCTATAGTAATCTGTGTCACAGAAATGCAAATAATATGTGGCTAAAAAAGAAGTAATCTGTGCAAACTAATGTCTGTGGGCAAAATTGTGATTTCTTTTTCTTTTCTTTGTAGGATTTTAAAGCCAACATGCAAAGGTAAGTAGATCCTGCTCATTTCCTTCTATCCGTTCTAAGACCATGTAGCAGGAAAATAGGCCACCCTCCCAATACTCTGGACTTCAAATCCGGTCAACCAATAGCTGGCAAGGTCAATGATAGGAAACAGGGGGAGTTGAAGCACATGGAGAACATGGCTTTCCAGACTCTCTTTGTTTGGGAAGTGTGGAATTCCACTCTCTCTCTCCCTTTATTTTTCAATGAAAATAAGAGCGATTAAAAAAAACATACACGTGCATTTGTTGGCGAAAAAGATAAATAAAAGGAGAGAACCATAAACTGAACTAACAGCACTGCTTCAGCTGATCATATGTTTATTACCTTCTTCCCTTTTCTCTTAGCTTAAAAAACACTTTTTTGAGGCAAATATTCTTCCTGTTCCTATGTCAGGTTTCAGACTTCTATTTACTTAACATTGGGAGAAAAACTTTGGTTTTTGGCCACAGATCAGAGGTGGTATTCAGCAGGTTCTGACCATTTCTGGAGAACTTGGAGTTGAAATTTTGAGTAGTTCAGAATACCGGCAAATACCACCTCTGATCTGTGGGCAAAAACCAAAGTTTTTCTCCCAATGTTAAGTAAATATAAGGCTGAAACCTGAGATAGGCCACCTGACTGGTCCCGCCCCCATCTATTCTCCGCCTCCCAAGTCCCAGCTGATCGGCTGGGTCTTCTTTGGTTGCCCTGCACAGGAGAACGGAGCTGGAAAGCAGGTTAGCCGGTGGGAAGGGAATGGGGATTTTACAGTAACCTTTCCCCAGGAGTGGGGAAGGAATGGAGATTTTACAGTATCCTTCCTCTGCCATGCCCACCAAACCACACCCACTAAGCCATGCCATGTCACACCCACCAAGCCACGCCCACAGAACCAGTAGTAAAAATGTTTGAATCCCACCACTGCATTAGAGCAAGTTTTGATATAGTGCTAAACTCCCTGCTTTTTGGGGGGTGGGGCTTCCAGTCAGTCTTGACTTCCAGCAAATGCCTGGCCAAGGCAATTCTCTTGGGCAAGATTTTAGAAGTGGTTTGTTTTTGCTCTTTTCTCTCTGGGGCTGGAAGTGAGGGACTGGTTCAATCCCCCTCAGCTGTCTTTGCGCCTAAGGTGGATCTAGAACTTACGTTCTCCCGGTTTCTTAGTCGGTATCTATACCAGACTGGCTCTGGGTTGAGAAGTTAATTATAATTAAATGCTATATGATTTTGATCTGACCCTCCTTACATTTTGGAATGTGATCTACACTAAGCAATTCAAACCATCTTGATTTGAAAAATAGTGCCTGCACCTCCCCCTGGCCCACCCCTGTATCTTATAAATGTCACTAACATGCTAAGGAGAGAAATATGACAGTCCTTTTACCACCAGAGCTGCCTATCTGAAGGGACTCAACCACCTTCTAAGCCATTTCAGCTCATTTGCTTGTAAGTTATATCATCATTTTTCTTAGCATCTTTAGTACCTTTCCCCCAGAATATCAACAGCACTGCTTTCTGCAAAATAACATTTTTCTAAACTCTTAAGCACCTCTTTCCTTTTGTGCCAAATGTTCTCCAAAATTATTCTCATTGCCACTATGGTCTCCGAGCTGCTGATTGGAACCATGCCACATGTCTTTATTTTGTTCCTGTCTCCCAGATATGACAAAGCACTTGAAAACCCCGTTGCTTTCCCTCTGGAACTGAAATGGAGATCCTGGGATTTCTGTGATATCAATCCTTTTCTGGAAAATACTGGAAATATATTCAATGGTAATGTAGAATTGATGCTTACTGTACAGGTTTCTTGGCAAATATGACTTTGTGACCGATAGATGATCCTTGTGGTTTGGCATTTCACATTTCCTTGTTCTTTCTCTTGCTAATGCCACATATTTTACTATCTATAAAACTATCATTATTTCTCTAAAATTAATATATTTTTATGTCCTGCCCTATGATCACCAATGCTATCTTGACACTCCCCTACCGGATGCCCTTGTCCAAAGCAAATGTTGATAGCCTTTCCTTTCCTTTCCTTTCCTTTCCTTTCCTTTCCTTTCCTTTCCTTTCCTTTCCTTTCCTTTCC